GATGACAGAAATACCCAGTTACATCTCTCTTTTAGACGGTTCTCTCCCTCCTCTGCTTCAGTGCAGTATACATTATTGAACCCATCTTACTCAGGTGACAAGAGTATTAACTTGTCTTTAAAATAAGAAGTTGTCTGGTCCTGGCTTATCTTGTAAGGTCATCTTAAATTATTAATTCAGTATCTCTATTTCTTACAGGTCTACTCAGATTCCCCATTCTTTCTTGAGTACATTTTGGTGGTTTGTGTTTTTCTAGGAATTCTTGTATTTCATGTAGGTTATTTATCTGATATAGCTGTTCATATCGCTTATTTTCTTTTTTCTTCTATAAGGCTGGTAGTAATAGTCCTTTTATTCATGATTTTAATTTGAGTCTTCACTCTTCTCATTCTTGAACAGTATTAGCTAAAGATTTCTCAACTGTGGTGAGCTAATCAAAGAACCAAATCTTGGTTACTTAGATTTTTCGCTGTTATTTTTTTTCCTAGCTTCAGTTTGCTCGGCTCCACAGTCAACACTCTTGGCACCAGCAGTCAGGAAATCAAAAAGCGTATCGCGATGGGAAAGTCTACTGTTAGGGACCTCTCTAAAGTACTCAGGAGCAACAGTGTCTCTCTGGAGACTAAGGTGCGCCTGATACAGGCCATGGTCTTTGCAATCGCTTGTTATGCATCAGAGAGTTGGACAATGACTAGGGAGGACAGAAGGAGAGTGGATGCTTTTGAGCTGTGGTGCTGGAGAAGGGTACTGAATGTACCCTGGACTGCCAGGAAAACAAACAGATTTATCTTAGAGAGGATTAAACCAAGCTACTCCCTGGAGGCAAGGATTCTGGGGCTTCGTCTGACATACTTTGGACATGTTGCCAGGAGGGACGGGTCCTTGGAGAGGGACATCATGCTTGGGAGGGCTGAGGGACAACGCAGGAGGGGAAGACCCTCTATGAGATGGATTGATTCGGTGACTGGGGTAATCGGGATGGGTGTGTCAGAGGCGGTGAGGTTGGCGCAGGATAGAGCAGGGTTTAGGGCTGTTGTGCATAGGGTTGCTATGAGTCGCAAACGACTCGACGGCACATAACAACAACAACAACAACAACAGATTACTTTTTAATAATGTCAGTGAAAACGACTTGAAAATATAGAAAATCAGTATAACTCACCTGATGCAAGAAATTTTTGAAGTTTATGAATCCAAGTTAAGCCAATACTATGCACTCCAGCTTCATGAGTGCAGTGATATCTAGAGGGACATTTGGAATCTGTAAATTCAATTCAAATTTCATGAAAAAGACTCATTAGAAAACAGAAAGAAAAAAATTTTACTCTAGATTCCAAACACATTTGATGATGAAGCGATAGATCTACATAATATTTACACTAAGGGATTAGTTTCAAAAAAATTGAAAACTTAAAATTTTTAAGATGTATTTTAAATATTTAGAAAACTAGATAGGTTATTTTCGAAATTTCAACATAATAATAAAGTTCATGAAAACATTAACGTAAGGTTAGGATATAGGCAATCAGTCCCTGGATTACAAATATGTGATCTACAGGCCTCTCTGCTTGCCCTTTATGCAGGGCTTCAAACCAGTTTGAACCGGTTCTGTCATGACCAACCAAGCAAAGTTAAGAATATTTATAATTTGAGAGATCTGTCATGGTAACTGGAACAGGAAAAATTACAGGTCAAAGTCCTGGGACAAGAAACTGCACTGAGGGGTAATGAACTCTTCAAGAGGGTGACACCTGAGGCTGCCTCATTGGCAGGACGATGGAGGAATACACGTTCCCGCGGCCCAGCCAAGCACGACCTCTGACAGGGCGCTGATGTCTGAGATGGATGTTGCCACCCCTGAGGTGGCACTGCTCTGACTCAGAAGCCACTTTACGTTTATGTGATTTTGTCCTCAGTGACACAATGAACCAACTCAAGATAAGTTCTCCATCACAGTCACCATCACTAAAAGGCTAGAAGCCTTTTTTTGCTCCAAACTGAAGGCAAGTAAGAATGTCTGTACCTGCTTTGACTAACATGAAAACTTTCTTATGGAATGGACTGTCTGCATTATAAGCTGATTTTGTAAGTACTTTCTAAAGCTTATTTAAAGCTTGGATACATTTAAGTACTTGAATCATGAAGTATACTTTTGAAAGGAGCCAGGGGGAAAACTATTATGATAAATCTGAGTGGATTCAGATTAAAACTCGTTATCTTACAACTCCAGAAATTTTCTCAGAGTACCTTCAGCCTGAAGGCCAAATGGGGCGGGGGGGGAGGGAATCCAGCCAACTGTAAATCAATGTTTTAAAGGGATTAGAACCACAGAGCAAACAAAGTGTATGTAAAAGATAATGCACACACACAAATACGGTAGCCTTTGTACAAATACAGGAAGAAAAAAAAATCTTAAATTTAACAAGTATCTTACCTCTGTGAAGTTTGATTGGACAAGAAAAGTCAGAATCAAAGGGCTCCTCGTCTCCAGACGCCAATTTCAGGGCCAGCTCCAGTTCCACACACTCAAACACATACAGTGAAGGGACTAGGTCAGCCTTGGAATCCCAAGACTTTTCTGACTATTGAAATAAAATAAAACGAAGAAGCATTAGAATTCTAACAGTGCTTTGTTACTCTTAAAACAGAATTTTAAAGTTCTCTCATTTTTAGGAATAATAAGTTTAGAATGAATACAATTAGTGAAAATCCAAAGCAGTAGTTCAAAGATTCTTTGTACCTGGGTACCTTTAAAGACTGCAGTAATCTTTAGAAATAAGTAATAAGGCTGGTGGACCAAGGAAGCTGGATAACCTTCCAGCTTCTTCCTAGTAAGATTTTTAAGTGTGTTTCAGTAAGTTTTAGATGTTTAATTTCCCAAATATCTTAAGTGCTAAAATTCCTCATACATTAAGCATGTAATAATATACTATGATTCTTCATACAGTAAGTGCACCCATCGGGCCAAGAAATCTGCTAGTGATCAGAAATACAAAATACCCCCGTGTATGCCACACTTACGGTCTGGTCATCCTCTTCTTCCCCTTCCAGCACCACTGAGTGATAGAGCATCCCTGATTCAGTAGCGATCACTAAGATGTTGGGGACACAGGGTAAACAGAGGATGGCGCAGGCGTCGTAACCGTAGTTGTCCTCAGCTGCAGGATGCATGGGCAGTGGCCCTAACAGCTTCCCTATATTCCCAGTGCTAAAGAAAAAGTGAAGAAAACATACTTAACACCTCTGGGAGATACTGACAGAAGGCAACCATGTTCAACCTTAATACCTTTCTTTGATTTTTGTCTTCTTCCAATACTACGTATCCCTTATTAAAACGGCATATCCTAAATGCTCTCCTTTTTCTCTTCCTTCCTCACACTCCACGACTTCAGTGGTTGTCACATAAGATGCTTCTACTCTCCTAGAGGACATTTAACAGCACCTGAAGATATTTATTGGCTGCCACAGCTGAGGGGGAGAGTTGGTTAGCTCATTATTTCTGCTAATAGATCGCTCACTTATTCAAACAAGAACTCACCTTCCTCTTTAGTGTCTACTGTGTTCCCATCTCCTTTAGCATCACTTTCATCCTTGTTCATACTCTATAGTAAAGTCTCCTTACCCCAATCCCTTCCCTAACTAGCTACCTTCTCCTCCTCCTCAGCTTTACTTGCTGGTTTTACTTATTTCAGAATAGACTGCAAACTCCTTAACTAGGCATTTAACTCCAAAGAGCCACAGTGGCACAATGGCTGAGGCACCTGACTGCTAATTAAAAGGATGGCTATTCAAATCTGCCGAAGAAGGAGGTGGTGGCTCATGTCCATGAAGGGCCACATGGGCCATTCCATCTACACTCCAAGATCACTCAACAGCAACAGGCTTGGTCTGTTTGGGTTTACACACTCTGTATGGAAAGGCATTTCTTTGTTCATCTCTTAATAGCTTCTCCATGATTCCTCTGTTCTAGCCCCGACTGTCTATAATCACTGAGCCTTTGAAAACGATTCTTTTACTTGCTTATTTTCATGCTATTCTTGTGACTGAAACGGCTGGGTTTTTCTAATGTTTCCTTTAATACTGCGCTAGACCCTAAGCCCTATATGAACTTCTCTAATCTCTTCCCCCTGCTTTCTTCATGTCTATGGACTATGACTAATTACCTTTTCACATTTATTTATGTTTCTTCTCTTCCCCCATAGGTGAGACATAACATGCCAAATTATCATGTCTTATCACCCCTATGGCACTTTGTACATAGAATGTTATTATGTAGGGATTCTAGAGCTTACAAAAATAACATGAAGAAATAAAAGGTCAAATTATCTGTACCAGTTGTTTCTACAAATAAGCAAGCAAAACGCAAAAGCTGTATGAATCTTAAGTCAGACTATCACACTCTATACTAGAGCTCCAGAAGGGTTTTCCTTTTGGGTGAGTTACTACTTCATTTTACCTGTGTTGCAGACCAACGTATGTGAGGAAAGTCTCTCCATTCTCATATAAGATGTACAGTGGATATGCAACTACTTCATCTTTGCCTTGCTGACCAAATACATTTTTCGAAACTGTTGCCAATGGCCCAAAGTCAAATGCAACTGCTGTCTCTCCTAGAGATGCAGTATATGCTCTTCTGGAAAGATTTAAAAAAACATACTTGTGAGAAAAAAGGAAACATCGAATAATAGCAGATAGGGATGAAGTTTTTATTTAATGTAGTGAAAAGACAATACCAAAAAAAATTTACCATGAAGAATGTTAGACAACATTGAAAAATGCTCAATAAATTAAGGTTTTTAAAAGCAGGGTATGAGTTTGAATGAAAGCGCTACAAGATGGCGGCGGCTGGGGCCGAGTCTCGAGGAGCTTGGTGTGTGCCTTACCTAGTTTCACTTGATACTCTTCAGGAATTATGTAGAAAAGAAAAGCTCACATGTAAATCAATTGGAATCACCAAAAGGAATCTAAACAATTATGAGGTGGAATACTTGTGTGACTACAAGGTAGTAAAGGACATGGAATATTATCTTGTAAAATGGAAAGGATGGCCAGATTCTACAAATACTTGGGAACCTTTACAAAATCTCAAGTGTCCATTACTTCTTCAGCAGTTCTCTAATGACAAGCATAATTTTTTATCTCAGGTAAAGAAAAGCAAAGCAATAACTCTTAAAAACAATAATAAAGCTTTGAAGCCTGCCCTTGCTGAATACATTGTAAAGAAGGCCAAACAAAGGCTAGTTCTGCAGAGATGGCAAGATGAACTCAACAGAAGAAAGAATCATAAAGGAATGATATTTGTTGAAAATAATGTTGACTTAGAGGGCCCACCTTTGGACTTCTACTACATTAATGAATATAAACCAGCTCCTGGAATCAGTTTAGTAAATGAAGTCACCTTTGGTTGTTCATGTTCAGATTGCTTCGTTGAGAAATGTTGTCCTGCTGAAGCTGGAGTTCTTTTGGCTTATAATAAAAGCCAACAAATTAAAATCCCACCTGGTACTCCCATCTATGAATGCAACTCAAGATGTCAATGTGGACCTGATTGTCCCAATAGGGTTGTACAAAAGGGCACACAGTATTCCCTTTGCATCTTTCGAACTAGCAATGGCTGTGGCTGGGGTGTAAAAACACTCGTGAAGATTAAAAGAATGAGTTTTGTCATGGAATATGTTGGAGAGGTAATCACAAGTGAAGAAGCTGAAAGACGAGGCCAGTTGTATGATAACAAAGGAATCACATATCTCTTTGATCTTGACTATGAATCCGATGAATTCACAGTGGATGCAGCTCAATATGGAAATATTTCTCATTTTGTGAATCACAGTTGTGACCCAAATCTTCAAGTGTTCAATGTTTTCATTGAGATAACCTTGATACTCATCGTCCTCGAATTGCACTGTTTTCCACAAGAACCATAAATGCTGGAGAAGAGCTAACTTTTGATTATTAGATGAAAGGTCTGGGAGATTTATCTTCAGATTCTTTTGACCAAAGCCCAGCCAAAAAGAGGATCAGAACTGTGTGCAAGTGTGGAGCTGTGACATGCCGAGGTTACCTCAACTGAACTGTCAGGAGATAGAACTGATTAGAATTTCAGCTTTGGTTTTCCTAACATTAAATGTTTTTTGGTTTGTTTGTTTTTTTTTTAAATACTTGGGAATATTTTTTCATACTGTCAAGATTATGCCTATGTTAATTTATAACTCATAATTCATATTTTAAAATCTTCGCCTAAAAAAGAAAAAAAAAAGGGAAAAAAAAAATCTTCACCAAATGCACTGCTGAGGTCTCTGAAGAGAACAGCACAGGCTCATGTAATTTGAAATGCACAAATTCAATGGTTGGATTGTAAGAACTGAAGGAAAACAATGTATGTACAGATATCATATACATACTTAAGAAGTCTATAAAGTGAAATACCTCTGTAAGTTTTTAAAAAGTATTAAACCGATGATATAACAGTTGGAGATCCAGCATTCAGTTTCCATGCATGTTGGAAAAGTGGCCAACTTGATTGGGACAAATACATAAATCCTACTTTTGTTATACTGTCATTCCTACTTGCCTATTGAATACTTGCTGTACTTGGTATTTTAGACAACTAAGTATTACCAAATTTGTATTTTATTATCTACTTTTATGAAAATATTGACATATGAATGCTATTAAAATTAAATGAAAAGAAAAAAAAGCAGGGTATAAAATTAAATAATGCTACTTCAACTTTATATAGATTAAATACAGATATTCCAAATAATAAAAATATACAAGTACATATCTGTACAAATAAAAAAAGAAACCAGAAGAAAATCTCAATCGTTACTCCCCCCGCCTTGTTGTGTACTGTCGAACTGGCTCTGACTGGCACAAGAGGAGACTGCCCTTCCTTTTCCAATGGAGCTTGTGGTGGATTTGAACCATTATTTACTTCTGAACGGTGAAATTCATTCACTGTACAGTTACCAAGCATCCACTCTGTGCCAGGTGATGTTCTAAGAGCCAGGATACATCAATGGGTTAACCAAAGGCCCTACTGCCTAGTGAGAGAGAAGTAAAAGTAGAGAATGAGTAACCAAGGAGGCAGTGACATATAGACAACTTTAGAATGGACATTCAAGGAAAGATTCTGAGAATAGATCGGAAAGAAATAACAAAACCAGTGTGTAGTTATCTGGGGTAGAAGGAAGCAGGCAGAAAGAAGAAAAATGCAATAGCCCAAGATAAGAAAGTACTTGGTGTGTCTGTGGGCAAGAGGCCAAGGAGGACAGTGGGTGGGAATGAAGTCAAAGAGGGGGTCAAGTGCCCAATGATACAGGCCTTTGTGAGCCACAGCAAGACTGCAGTGTGGAGAAGAGCAGGGGAGCAGAATGATCTGATTTATTCTTAGGCATCATGCTGGCTGCTGTATTAAGAATGAGCTCTAAGAGATTATGAAAGATTTTTACTTTCTTAATATTTTTCCCATTTTTCTTTTTATTTTTTTATTTTATTATTTTTGTGTGCATGTACCGTCAAATCAGATCTGACTGGTACAGGAGATTGTCCCTCCTTCCCCGGCAGAGCATCTGGTGGATTCAAACCGTGAGCCTCTGGGATTGTAGTTGCAGCTCCTTGCCACAGAGCTCCCCTTCCCATTTTTCTAACATATACATTACCTTCATAATAAAGAAAAGGTAAGCTATAAAATTAGGAAGTTTCCATTTAAATTTTAATTGGTTACCCAAAATGATTGCAATTCAAGAGAAAATTAATGACTATGGGTAAGATAAAAAGTTTCCAAAGAGAATCTCAATTCCATAGGGTGGAAACAGTCTACTGTATTCTAAGGTTATTTGTTTGTTTCTTTGTTATTTGGAAACGGATACAGTAGCAGGAGGACGAATCCCAGAGACTACGATGAAAAAAGTGCCATCAAAGAAAGTCATCAGAACTTGACTGGGTGGGTTAGTGTTAAGGAGATCCGCTGCCAACCCAAAGGCATGTGGTTCAAATCTACCAAGTGCTATGCAGGAGAAAATGGGCAATTTCCTCCCATACAGTCTACTGCTTCTGAAAACCTGGAATCGGTTCTGACTCAACGATAAGTAACAATGTTAGTGCACAGTAACTAATAAGTACTCATTCTGTGACAAACCTGATTTTATCTTAACCTTTTATCTTACAGAAAATTAGCCCCCACCTTACTGCATTTTGTACAATAATCCTATTTAATGTGGTTGTTACATATTTTTGGGTTTTCAGAGGCAATAAACTGGACGAGACGATACTACCATCTTTTTATCAAGGAGCAGTTGGTGGGTTTGAAGACTTTTGTCTTTGGGTTGGCAGCACAAGGTCTTACCATTAAGCCACCAGAGCTCCCTCAACCGAAGTAATAAGCACTATTATTATCCTCACTACAGCCATAGATACAAGGCTTCATGCAAATGAATGACCAATCCAGATGTCATGGCCAGCAGGCAACAAAGATGAGATGAGAAACCAGGTGTGATGACACCAGAGTAAATGTTCTTAGCCACCGCATTTGCTCTATTCTCTCTCATCCAGACAATGAGTTTGTCAAAAGGCACTGGTCAGCTATGAAAACAATTTGCAAGAGACTTTTACAGGACTCATCAATAAGACAGACGTAGGTATGTCCCCATTTGATACTACATAAGATATTCATATAATTTACCATTTTTTTTTGGAATTTTGCCACTGTGTAATTAATTTTCAGTCATACACATTCGAGAACTTTCTTGTTGCCTATTCACTTTGCTTAATTTTGCTTTTCTCATATTGCCAAAAATATGCTAATAATCACCTCAGGAAAACTTATGGATCTGTTAAAATGTCACATATAATCCCAAAGAAATAGTTAAAAACCAAACATCTACTTTATGGTACATACTAATGACTTACCCTTTATTGAGTATTAGACTTTCTTCTTCTGCTTCTGAAAGTACAATCACCTTGGCAGGTGTCTGAGGCTCACGCAGAGAATAAATTCTAGCAATCAGAAGAGAAGAAAAGCAGTATTTAAAATTCTCTTTCATGGTCCCCAAAGCTCTTACACTTTAGTATTAAAAAAAAAAAAATTTCCTTTCCTTCCCCAAAAAGGCCTTCTCCTCTCCAACAAGTGAGTTACTGCTCAAGAATTTTCCTATCAGTCTGTTCAATCATTTCCATGCCCAAGATCTCGCCATTTCTGACAAAGCAGCCTACTTCATTTGTTCTTTAACGTCAGAGAAAGGCTTCCTCATGATCTGAGGAAATAAATCTCTATCTTTACCAAAATCAGCCTACTCCATACTAATGCACTTTCATTTCCACCCTGAGCTTTTAGCATATTCAGGGTCATGCTCATCTAGTCATTTCGCTACCACCCCCAAGCTTGTCAGCCTCTCTTCAATTCTATCTACTTCAGGCTATTAGACACCAAATCTGATCAGAGAAGAAGCTATGATTCACTCTTCATACACCAACTTACTGGTAGAGTGACACTTCAACAAATGAAGCATTTATTTTTACTCAACCACACTGTTTTTAAATTTAGTTGTTCTATGATCAATAAACACTGCATTGGGTATTTAATGAACATTTTAAATGATAATTTGATTAAATAACACACATTCACTGTGGTCTTACATTATATTTCATGGGCTCTGCTCTCAAAAAACAAGAACTAGACAATGACAACATGGTTAGGGAACAAAAAGGAGATGCATAAGAGAGAACTGAATAGAAATTTCTTATTGCACTGTTGTCAACAGGATCCAAAAGAAAGGAAAAGAGATTAACTACCTAATTACTTTTTAAAAGCTTGAGAACCAAATATAAATTTGGAGAATTATACACAATAATCAGACGAGATTTATTCCAAGAATGACTCAAAAGCATCATTCAAGATAATGCACCATATTAACTGAATGAATGAAAAATAAAACGACCAATGCAAACCATAACACATGATGGTTTCTATCAACCTAGGAAAGCAGTTGACAAAATTCATTATCCTTTCATGATAAAAAGACTCCAAAACTTGAGAAAGAAAGAAAATTCCTCACGATGATAAGGTGCATTTATGGAAAATTCACGTTGTTGCTAACTGTTGTCAAACACAATTCATAGCGACCTTTTGAACAACAATCTTAAGTCCGACCCTGTGCCATTCTCATCATCTCTGATACACTCGAGCCACTATGTCAATCCATCTGAGGGTTTTCCTCTTTCACTGACCCTCATCCTTTCCAAGCATGACGTTCGTTTCCAAGGAATAGACCCTTCCTAGTAACATGCCAAAAGACTTGAGTTGAACCTTCACCAGCTTTGACTCTAAGGAGTACTCTGGTTGCATATAATCTAAGACATATCTGTCTGTTCTTTTGGCAGTCTATAGGATATTCAGTGCTCTTCAACATAACAGCTCAAAGGCATCAGTTCTTCTGTCATCCACATTAATACCCAGTTCTCATATGCGAAGCAAGCAATTTAGAAGACCATGGTCTGAATCAGGCACACCTCAATCTTCAAACTGACATCACTGTTTCTTAGTAATCTGAAGAGGTCTCTGACAGCAGACTTTCCCAATGCAATCTGTCTCATTACTGCTGGCTCCAGAGTGTTGATTATAGATCCAAGTTCAGATTAAACTGTTGACGATTTCAATCTTTTCTCCATCTATCATGATGTTGTCTATTGGTCCAGTGGTAAGGATTTTTGTTTTCTTGATGTTGAGATATGATCCCTATTTCAGGCTGCAGTCTTTTGATTTTCTGCTGCAAGTACTTCAAGCCTCACTTTCAGCAAAGATAGTTTTATGATCTGCATAAATCAGGTTGCTGATGAGTCTTCTTCCAACTCTAATACCACATTCTTCTTCACAGAGTCCAGCTCTTCAAATGATTTGATTAGCAAAGAAAACAGAACTGCAACACAGACTGAAAAGGTGTGGACAAAGGATACAGCCTGACACTCCCCTTCCTTAATTTTAAACCATGCGATGTTGTTTGCTCTGTGTAGTCTAGGTGTAGGTTTCATATGAGAATAATTAAATGTTCTGGGATTTCCATTCTTCTCAGAATATGTCATGATCCACACAGGCAAATGCCTTTGCATAGTCAATAATGCACAAACAGACATTCATTGCTTTCAGCCAGGATCCATATGACATCTGCACTGATATCTGTGGTGCCATATTGTTGTTGTTGTTATGTGCCGTCAAGGTGCTTGTGACTCATAGCAACCCTATGTACAACAGCCCTAAACTCTGCTCTGTCCTTGCCAATTGCTCTTGTCTCCAACACACCCATCCTGATTATCCTAGTCACTGAATCAATCACCTCAGAGAGGGCCTTCCTCTCCTGCACTGTCTCTCCACCCTCCCAAGCATGAAGTCCCTCTCCAAGGACTGGTCCCTCCTTACAACACGTCCAAAGTATGTCAGGCAAAGCCTCAGAATCCTTGCCTCCAAAGAGCAGCCCCTCTTCTAAATCCAGCCTGAACTTCTGGCAGTTCTCTGTCAGTGTACTGTTTCGGCCATTTCTGGAGGATATTCAGCAATATTTTAAAAATCCATAGTAACATCATATTCAATGGTGAAAAACATCACAAACATTGCATTAGAATTTTTAGCCAAAAAGAAGATGTAAAACTATTCTATTTACGGATAACTTGATGTGTATCAATAATGTACGGGATCCAAGATGGCAGCGGAGGTAGAGACAGCATGGTGGGCTGCGGGAGCAGCGAACCACTTAAAGCAGGGCCATTAAGGCCTTCCACAGACTTCGGCTTATTGATAATTGAACACTTAAACAGTTGATGACTGGCCCTCAGTGAAGATCAAGGCTCAACAACAGGAATTCAAGGATTCCCAAGGAGAAATGGGTGAGTCTCGTGCCTCCCAAACCCCACCCCCTGCAGAACCTGCACTGCACAGCACAGCGGCTGCAGCTCCATGAGGCTTCCACAGCCAGACAAATGGATTCCCTCACCCAGGATGGATGCTGGGCACTGGTCCTCCTCAGGACTGGTACAGTGAAGCAACCAAACTGCCACAAGGTGGACTTGGTCTGGAGAGAATTCTTGGAGCCAAGATGGCAGCTGTGGGGGAAGTGGGCGCCCACTGGTCGCCCGCACAAGAGGGGCTGTGCACCCGCCGAGCGCCTTTGCGGTGGGGTGGGGGGCACGCCCCTTCCCCCCTTTACATCTACGCCCCTGTTCAGCATGAAGAAGCCAGAGAGTCGGCATCCAATTCCCAAATCAATAAGACAGTTGGTTTAATTACTATTGGAAAATGCTTGTCATTCCTCTGTAGCATCTGGTCCCCACTGGACCCTCATCATTTCCTTCACCTGCTCCCCCCACCGACCAAACTGTGCAGCTCTGCAACTGCATCCTGGCCCATCCTCACCCTTCTGCCCCCAACCCTCACCTCCTTGTACCCCCAATATGTTTTTCCCAATTAAAAAAAATATTTAAAAAAAAAAGCAATTCCATTTATAAAAAATAAAGTATCTAGGAATCAATTTAACCGAGGAAGTCTTCAATACATGGAAATACAAAACATTAGACAAAGAAGTAAGATCTAATTAAATGGACTAAAAAGCAACATGATAAATGAGAATAAAACGGGTATCAAGGATTTCATTTTCATTTTGATCCACAATCAACAGTAACGGAAGAAGCAGCCAAGCTATATGAAACAAGGTATTGCACTTGCAAAGCTGGTCCACAAAGGGCCCCTTAAAAAATGCTATAGAGCAAAGATGTCACTTTGAGGTCAAAGGTATGCTTCATCCAAGCTTCACATTGTTGTAAAAGCTACACAGTGCCTACAAAAAAACTGAAGAATGGATTTATCTGAGTCATGACGGTATTAGTAAGGAATACTGACTACAGTGTGGACTACCAAAGATCAAGTATATCTGTCCTCGAAGAAGTATTGTCAGAACATTACTTAGAAGCAAGAAGAGCAAGACATCCTCTCACATACTTCCTCCATGGAGGAGGTCAAACTCAGTAAACAAGATATTAAGTGAAAAAGAGAAAGACCCTCAACAAGATGTTATCATACAGTGGCTGAAGCAAAGGAATCAAACCATTATTTGTGAAGATGCTCCAGGACTGGCCAATGTCTTGTTCTGTTATGGACTGGGACTATCATGAATCAGAAAAGACTCAACAGGACCTAACCACAATTAAACTGAATGTTATACTGGGTTCACTGATTGTTGTTGTTTTTATATGCTGTCAAGTCGCATGTGATGCATAACGATCCTATGTACAACATCCCTAAACCCTGCTCTATCTTGCACCAATGTTATTGTCTCTGACATACCTACCCCCATTACCTCAGTCACTGAATCAATCCATCTCATCAAGGCTCTTCCTCTCCTGTGCTGTCCCTCCACCCTCCCAAGTGTGACGTCCCTCTCCAAGGAATGGTCCTACCTTGCAACGTGTCCAAAGTATGTCAGATGAAGCTTCCGATTCCTTGCCTCCAAGGAGCAGCCTGGTCTCACTCTCTCTAGGGTGAACCTGTTTGTTCTCCTAGTATTCTATATGGTATAGTCAATATTATTCTTCAGCACCAAAGCTCAAAGGCATCAATTCTCCTTCTATCATCCCTAGTCAGTGTCCAGCTTTCTCATGCATAGCAAGTAATTGCAAAGACTATGGCCTGTATCAAGCGCACCTTAGTCTCCAGACTGACATCACTGCTTTTCAGTACTTTGGAGAGGTCTCTGACAGCAGACTTTCCCAATGCAATTTATCTCTTGATTTCCTGGCTGCTGGTACCAAGAGTGTTGACTAAGCAAACTAGAGCTGTTAACAATCTCAATCTCTTCACCATCCATCATGATACTGCCAACTGGCTCAGTGGTGAGAATAACTGTTTTCTTTCTTTTTTTTTAACTAATTTTAATGAAAGTTTACAGAGACTTAGGGTTTCCAGTCATTCATTATTGCACTTTTCTCCCTACAGACCCCCAAGAATCGTAGTT